TATTATAGCCCGTGCCAGGCATAAAGATAAAAATTATATAATAATTGCAACTAATTAATATATCTCGATTGTAAGACATTGTCTTATCATAGAGAACTCATTTCAGGCACTAACGAAACTTGGGTATCTCCTAAATGGGGTCACCGATCTCTTTTCCATACCGTAGTACCATATTGATAAACAAAACAAACACGTGGTTGCATACTACTGAGTACATCTGAATTAGGAAGGTATAAACAATGCTGATCTTTTGGAGGGGGTGAGCCCAAATGCCCACTTTTTTTCGAAAATTTTGGAAAGAATGGCAAAAGCGAGAGGGAGGTAAAAAAAACCAAGAGGAAACACCAAAGAAATGTCTACCCAAGCCTGCACAGTACTAAGTCTTTTCAGTGAGTGATAAACTCTAAACTTGTTGGCAGGTAGCATATGAGAACTACCTCTAAATGACAAGTGCCGTGCCTATAATAGGTCCCATGTCTCACGTTAAGGCTTCTTTCGAACCATGCCAGCTGTATGTTATTTAAAAAATGTCTCCAAATTTCCAAGAAGTGTTGTTATAAAAAACTCATTTGTTGTTCTTCTTCTATTCTATTCTTTTGCGTTATAGATTACTTTGTCAACAAAAAAGCCCCAACTTCTCATAAGCACCTTCTTATCAGAATTTTGGAACCAAGGGCACCAACTTCTGCCAGTTATCTTGTTTCCTAATGCTTCTGGTTTGTATGCCAAATGTGTAAAGGAGTCCCCCGTAGAAGCAAGTTGACCATTACATAAACCATCCCATAAGCAGGTCTTCTCCTCTCCAACAAAATTTTTGTTTTTGTTTGGTGGGAAATTTTGGTCCAGATGATCGTCAGAAAGAGTTGTTTGAAAATTTTTGTTTAAATAAACTTGTTTGAAATATAAAATATATTAGATTAATATATTTTATTTTATTTTCTTAAAATTTAAACAAAGATACTTAATTTTGTTTTTTTAATCAAAAATCTAAATTAAATATCTTTTTCAAACTTTAAAAATAAAATTAAATAAGTTAATCTAATATACCTTTATACTATATTATATTTATATTTAAATTATCTGAATTATAAGTATATAGCTTATTTATAAATTAATACACACATTTAAACATAGATTTCTCTATTAAATACTGTATTACTTCACTATAGTGCTGCACTATGATATTAAATCATTTGATGTGCAACATCCCTATCTCTAGTCAAAATTTTTATATAGTGTTCTGAATTTTGCAATTTTTTTTTTCGCACATAATTGTACGGATTTTTGTAGCTAATCCGACTAGTACTACTGATATTATTTGGTAGCTCCACACAGGAATTTTGACTCAAGACAATCGTCAAGTATTATTTCGGGCAAACAATAAGTTATGTCTCAAATTCTGCAAATCGAAATCGGCAGACCAATAGAAATACGCTATTTAACTGCAGATTATCGTTCTTTAAATTCCATAAATTCTGCAAATTTAGTGAAATTCACCTTAAAATATGCTGTTTTCGGCTTAGTGGTTATAAAACGGCTAAGCCGAAAATAGCTGTTCGAACCCATCCCTACTACGTAATGTACTAGGGGACTCTACAGCTGAATGAGTATATATATTCAAAAGGAATTTTTAATGTTGATCCAATTCTTTCTTATCGTTATATCAAGAATTTCTTATATTGAAAGTTTCTTATATCAAGAGTTACTTGTATTAAATATACTTAAATACAGATAAAAGATTTGATTTTGGGTTTGATACGTACGTTTGGGAATATTTCTAAATGGCTAAACCACGCGTTGCTATTATCGGCGCCGGTATGCTAAGATGATTTACATTATAGATATAAATTGAAATAGTTCTGATCAACAAATACGTATTATCAATATAAAAAAAACATCAGGTTCATCAGGTTTAGCATCCTTGAAACAATGTCTTGCAGATGATTTAGATCCAATATGCTTCGAACAAACATCTTATGTAGGAGGCCTTTGGAATTTTGTTGAAATTGACGATGATGAAAATAAGGATCCGCATTCATCAATTTATAAAAGTCTTATTACTAATGTTTCTAAAGAAATGGTGTGTAAATTTATGAGATATTTATATTATGTATTTATCGATACTGTATAGTTGAGAATTTTTTTCTTATCAAAAATATATATAGATGACATTTTCGGATTTTCCAATCCCTGCTGAATGGCCATCTTATTTACATAATTCACTCCTCGCAAAGTACATTATTTTTTTTATTTGTTTCTTCCGCATCCTGTAAATCAAATTACTTACTATGATTACCTTCTATATACTGTATTAAAAAAAGATACTTTAACATGTATGCCGATCACTTTAAACTTAGGCCATACATCAAATTTCGTACAACAGTTGTTCGTGTATCCTATCTTCCTGATCATCGTTGGAAAGTTAAATATATTACTCGTGTAAATAAAGATCGAACTGATGAAAATCTCAATAGTGAACATGAAGAAATATTTGATTTTGTTATGGTTTGTAATGGACATCATAGGAAACATAGGCGGCCTAAATATAAAGGGATGAACGAATTTAAGGGTGAACAAACTCATTCCCATTTTTACAGGCGGTAAGTAAAAAATAAATAAATAAATAAAGTGGAGGATTAATCATAGTATGATCAATGATGTTTTCGAATTTTATTATTTTATTATAAGTAATATATAAATTATGTCAAATTCATCCTCTTAATATTAAGTGGATTATTATTACTACATAATAAAATTCCAGAATGTCATCGATTACATTATCATATTTTTGATTAACGATGCCCCAAAATGATGCAAACTTTTTTTTTTTAAAAAAAAAACTTTATTAGACCTACATCTTTCGAAAATAAGCGTGTAATTGTCGTAGGAGCCGGAGATAGGTATGTTAAATTTTTAAATATGTACACAATAGCTTTTTGAATTAAATCACATTCAATTTTTATTATAGTGGAGTTGATATTGCTGTCGAATTATCTCATTTCGCGTCAGAAGTGTATTTATGCACCCGTAGAGGTAACAAAATATCATTATATTTACTAATGCATTCACCATAAATTATTCAACTCAATTGTTCAGCTCGGTATTTTAATAGGAACACTCCCATGGATCCTACCACGCTTGGTCGGTGAAAAGCCAGTTGACCAATTATTAAATCGTTTTTCTAACTACTTCCTTCCAAATTCTTGTTCGGTCTTTACAAAACTTATTACCCAGTCTTTAAATTCCTATCCACAATCTCTCCGACCTACTACACCATTTTATTCTTCACAGCCAACTTTTAAACTTGATATTTTCGAACGTCTCAGTACTGGCACCATTATTGTAAAAAAAAATATTTTAGAATTAATGCCTGATGAATCAAAATCAATTAAATTTGTCGATGGATCTATCGTGGAAAATATTGATGTGATAATTTATGCGACTGGTTATAATATAGATTTTCCATTTTTAGATAAAGAAATTGTTAATGGTGGACCAGAAATTGAAAAAGAGTTTGAAGGTGAATATAAAGAAAATTTGACATGGCTGTATAAGATGATGTTCCCTCCAAATTACCGTAATATCGCGTTCATTGGTTTAATCCAGCCAATTGGATCTATTTTTCCTTTTATGTATGTAATTATTATTACTTTGATAATTCTACTGTAAAAGCAATAACATTACTTTAATTTTATTTAATTATATTCTTTTCATCAAAAGTGAAATGCAAACTCGTTACGTGACAAGTTTAACCAAAGGTTTAATTAATCCACTCCCATCACCTCAAGATATGAGTATCACAATTAGAAATTATCATGAAAAGGCCAAAAAGCGATATTATTTATCAGCAAGAAACACTATTTATGTTTATCATGTTGATTACCTTGATGAATTAGCTCAAGAATTAGGTTGTTATCCTCATTCTTTAGAGATATTAAAAAAATTTGGGTTTAATATATGGAAACTTGTTATGTTTGGAATTGCATCACCTATCCAGGTAAGTTTGTTAGTGTCATTCTTTGTGAATATATTATCTAAGGTTAAAGGTTTCCTTCCATAATTCATAGTATCGATTACTTGGAAGACAATGCTGGGAGGGTGCTAAAGATGCGCTCATGATTTATAATAAAATAAATCCAAATAAATGTTAAAAAAAATATTAACCATTAAATTTTAGTAGGTAGAAAATTCCTAAATTTTGGCATCAACTAGTTTTAGCATAATCTGCCACAATTATTAGCAAAATCAGAAGACAAAGTGATATTGTATTAACATAATAAATTACTAACCTTTAAAGTAATATTATATTAACAGAATAAATTATTACCGTTACCTTGTAAAAATAACAAGTTCGAACATGTGAAAATTACATATATCAAATTTATGACAACAGAGATATCAGTATGTCTATAAATTTAAGTTACATGTTTATGATTGTTCAGGAGAATTAGTATATTTACAATTGCAATATAAAAACGGTCCATCAAAGATAATTGCAATGTCAAATGAACTGCTTAGTAGCCCATATTTAAATATAATCGCCAACTACGCCAATATTTATTTACAAAGTCTACAGTATTACGCAATTTAATTTTTTTTAGTTATCTTTTTAATAATAAGTATACAATATAAATAAAATACTCATAAAAAGTATTATACAAACATAAAAAAAGCTATTATACAGTATATAAACTTAATATTTTAAAAGTAGTTTGATTAAAGTAATGGATAAGTTTTCATTCTATAAATGTTATTAGAATAATGCACTGATATGCCTTTCAAAAAAGATTAATAAATCCCATAGTCATCACATTAAAAAAAAATTTCAATTTAGCATTATCAAAATGAAATCATTAATAGCAAATATATATATATATATATATAAAAGTAAACTAAAGGTAACAAAATTAAAGAGTTAGATTCTTCCAATTCCAATTTAAAAGTAGTATTGTAAACTTGGTCGGTAGTTTGATCTATTGCAAGTAGCATCAATTCCCATTTTACAGAAACAAAGTGAAAATAGTACAGGTCTTCCACTATAAGTATTTGGAGATCAATTATAACTTCACCAAGAAATTTCTTCCCTTCTTTGTCACAATATGTTGTGGAGCTTTTATGAGTAATGTTTATTCAATAAGCCCTTGCTGTTTGCTTTTTTGTGGAAGGTACAAAAACTCAGACAATTCTCGACTATTTTAAAAAAGTGAAAATCGAATGAAAATTAAAAACAAAGGGTTACTTTTGAAAAATTAGAAGTTAAAAACATACCTATGTTCCACTTGTTGCCATTGATGGAATTTAAGGGATCTTCTCTTTTTAGTTCTACCTTTTAATACTCTAGTTAGTTTGAAAAAGAACGTTATTTTAAATATTTCGTTATTTAGCTACCTGATCACATTTCAGCGTCCCACCAGTGCTGTAATATACACATGATACGCTATCTGTTATATAAAATGAGTGATGCAGAGGGAAAACTTCTGAATTTCGAGTATATTATTCATTATTTACGATTTAATCAATAATTTAATTTTTAATTTAATCAAGTTATAGTATAATATCAAAAAATAAGAAAAAATTATAATTTTGCAAATAAATTCGATCCAATAATGAAAAATTCTAATTATTTCTTAATAATAAAAGTTATTCATCATCCAATAAATTACGTCAATAAAAAAGAAATTTTGAAATTTTAATTTTTCATGACAAAACAAAACACAGATGTCGACAAGTGCTACGCAGACTTCACAAAGAATTAAATGACCGCATGGATCAATAGACTTTCCCATGCGACCATAATATTTACAACTTCGTCTCTTGCTGCTGGAGTTCTTTATTCTCCCCTTTAACCTTGTTCATTAAACCGATTTAATAGTTATGAGGCACAGGATATGTTTGATTATAATTGGTTCATTTCCACATTTAAATAGCAAAATTTTTATTCAGGCATGTGTTATCATAAATTATGATATAAAAACTGAACGATTATTATTCAGCCAAATTTGATAATGGAAGTTGCAGAATATTCATCGCCATAATTGAAATATAAATTGTTTTCTGTAGGTTGAAATCTCGTACAATTTATGCGTCGAAGAATTTCGTCACATTTATAAAGACACGTCTATCATTGAAATCTAACTTATATTGTACTCAGAACTTTTACATTTCAAGTGAAGCCTGTGGGCAAACATCTGTCTCAATGTATAGACTAACTTCTAATAACAAAAGGATTTATAAGCGATAAATATATCTTATTCATATGATAATTTAAAAAAACAATGGATGCAGCAAGAGTTTATTACTGTATTATGGCTTTAATGTATTTAAAAAATCGATGAATGAGACTGGGTCAATATTTATAAAAACTTGTATCACAGATGATGCCTCAAAGATAGTAAATCATAAGAAATGTAATAAGATATTTTATGACAAATAAATTGTTTACAAAACTCTTTCTTGTGATCTTCTTTATGCTTTTTGTTAATCTATGACCGTAGTGTAACTTGTCATTGTGATACAGTATTGGGCAATTGATGTTCCTAAAGATATAAAAGAATATTGGCAAGAGTTACTTTCAAATAAAATTATTAATTACAAGCTTTTAAATAAACTTGTACTTATATTATCAGCCTTTAAATAATGCAAAAATTATTAAAAATGCAACAATACAATTAATATTGATTTTTTGCTTTTATAATGCCAAAATTAAAGTTAATTAAGTTTAATATCTATAGATTCATAAGTGGATTGCGATTTTAGAACAACTTAAGTGGGAATTGAATATTTAAAAATGAACAAGCAAATAAATTTGATTACTGTGTATATTTTTAATAATGTTATCATGAATGACACTCTACACTTATATTACTTATATTTACACTTCGTACTAGTCACGATAAATTTTCAGTATTATGTTTTCGCGAATTGGTAGATTTCGAGTTATTATCTTCGATTATACAAGTGGCATAAGCTTATTCACACCAAAGATAGTATCAAGAATTTAGTTTTTGCATCTTCTTACGATTTAATAGAATATCTAAGAGGATAGTTACCATTTTTTTATTATTTGATTTTTCATTCAGATTCTAATTAAACCAATAACGATCTCTAAGCTCATAATACCGAGTTAATAAAGCACAGCGATAATAAGATCATAGTCGCTTTGTGAAATAAAGGTCTAAGGATTTTTCTTCAAGAAATTAAGCAAATCGTTAAAAAATAAAATAAAAGATTAAAACAGGAGATTGCTTTACTGTATATATATTTCGTAATTAATGACATGATCATTTTGAAATACTAATATGATCGCATAAAATTCCGTAATTACAGAAGTTTTTTAAGATTCGAATCTACAGATTCTGTAGAAATTCCGTAACAAATATAAAAAACAATGCACAAATAATTTACGACGTAGATGGTTTATATTTTTTGTCTTTACTTATTTATGATTAAATATAAAACCAAAAAATTTAT